TTCCATCATCCATCCATCCATCCATCCATCCATCCATCCATCCATCCATCCATCCATCCCTCCATCCATCCATCCATCCATCCATCCATCCATCCATCCATCCATCCATCCATCTGTGCACAGACTCACATGATATACAAAGTATTTGGTGACTGTTTTAATCTGGATGTCCTTCCTGATGCAGCCTGGGCTCAAACCTGCAGCTTCTTGATTACTTGGTCACAGCTCTGACCATCAAGCTGCCACAGGTTTTAACTAGTTTCTGTATATTAGTCATTTTTCCACATCAGTGAAAATCTTCTAAAACTGTTGTTTAATGCCGTTAGCTGGTGTAGTCTTCTATTTACCAAATTAACTGTCATCAAGTTTCAACTGCATTCTACATTTCTGCCAGCTCTTTACATCTGTTTCCTTCTCTGCTATATATATATAAATATTAGCTGTTTAAGCAGTCTGGGTCTCGCCACAATTAGCTTCTGTCATGCACATTTTTATTTTTGTTGTTAGATGAAATGAAACAAGCAGAAAAATCAAAAAGTGACTGAAAAGCTGCCCCTGAATATGTTACACTCATTTCTTTTAAAGCACTGTCTGTGAGGTTGTTTGTCCGTGATGACATCATGTTATTATTTTATTAGGCAAGCTTTCACCTGTTCTGTTATTTTGTTTTTATTTACAGATAAGACTGATCGGTCAGAGTAAAAATGACAAATGGTGAAATATCCTCAAAATGTCTTTCTTTCATGCCAGACCATGCACCTGGTGAAAACAGCACGCTCCCTCTCAAAGGTGCAGATCCCTGCATGAAAACAGAACTTTGAAAAAGCTTTCAGGCTCGATGGATTTTAAACCAAAAAGAAAAGGAATGCATTCAAGAAAGATAGGACAGATTTTGTGAACACTTGATGCTCTTCAGAGTAAATAGGACTGTTTTCTGCTTCTTTTAGGCTGTTAATATTTGTTGTTGCAAATCTGTTTTGGGTGATTTGACTGCAAGTGGTCAGCTCTGACACCTCTGTTGACACTTGTGCACTGCCAAGTCGGATGTCAGTAACACCTCGTTTGTCTCTATGTGGCCTTGTGGCAGATTATCCAGGGTGCACCTCTGCTCTCACAGAGCATCTCCTGGAGATAAGCCCCAGGTAATGCACGACCTGGAAAGGAAAAGAAAGAAAATGGATGGATGCAGGACGTCAGCAGGTTTGTTGATGTTGCTGTGAGAAATACATTCACACATCAGAACTATATTTGAACAGCATGGCGGCATTCTGTGTCTGTTTCTCCTTCCTGTCCTCTCAAACTCCACCCAGTGAAGCGGATGGCTGCTCGTCCTGACACTGGTTCTGCTGGAGGTTTCTTCCTGTTAAATGGGAGTTTTTCCTTTCCACTGTCTCCTTTGTGCTTGCTCAGGATGGGAGACTGCGACAAAGTGAAGATTCAACACAATCTGCTGGCTTCCTTAGATTGATAACTTTTACTAATTGGCTTTTATAATGTGAATGTTTTTGCACAGTGCTCTGAGACGACCTCTGTTGTGACTTGGCACTATACTTATATAAACTGAATTGAACTGAAACAAATTGAACATTAACATGGTTCAGAGCCATTTGAGTCATATATTTAAGCCGAGACGTCCTCTCTTCTGCTTGTCCGTGGTCACGACAGCTTGGCTCAGGACAGACTGTGCTCAGACTATCCATCCATCCATCCATCCATTTTCTTTACCCGCTTATTCCATTTTGGGTCACGGGGGTCGCTGGTGCCCATGTCCAGCAATCACTGTGCGAGGGGCGGAGTACAACCTAGACGGGTCGCAAGTCCATCACAGGGACACATAGAGACAAACGAGACAAACAACCATTCACTTTCTCACTCACACCTAGGGACAATTTAGAGTTACCAATCAGTTTAACATGCATGTTTTTGGACTGTAGGAGGAAACCAGAGTACCCGGCGAAAACCCACG